TATAATAATAATAAGCTTGATAGAACCGTCAACACACACACATTCTTTCTCTTTCTCTCTTTCTCTTTTCTTCTCTCTCTCTCTCTCTCTCTCTCTTCGTTCGAACAGATTTTGTATGTACTTACGTCGTGTAGCACGTGTACATATATATGTTTATACGTACATATAATTCTATATATATATATATGTACATATAAACATATTTAATATTTATAATATTTATATCGCTATGTAATAATAATACTTGCAATAATTACATATGCACGCGGTAACTTTCCCCACGGACTTTCTTCGATGCACATCACCGCTCTTCTATATATAAATTCATATTTATAATATATATATATTTATATCTATTACAATAATAATAATAATAATAATAATAATAATAATAATAATAATAATAATAATAATAATAATATTTAAAATTATAAAAATGATAATAATGACAATGACAATAGGTGTAATAATAATAATAATGACAAGTTTTCACTATGGTTATTTCGATTAAAATCTTAAAGGTTTAACGAGTCCTCCATTTGTTATTTCTTCTCGTGGTCATTTTTTTCGGAGGAATAATAAAAACGATAGTCGCGATAATAATTGTTTGTTAGTTTCTTTATAGATAACGGGTGGTAGTAGGTCCGTTCGCGATATGGCGAAACAATGAAAATGCAATGGGGTTTTAATTGTAAATCCGATGGAGACAAAAAAAAGATCTATCCTGCGTGACGTGATGATGAAGAACTAATGTAGTAAATAATAAATATATAAGTCGATGATAAAATCGATAAAAAAGTCCTCACGTATACACGCACTTTGGATCGACGAACTACGTATACGTATTAACGTATTATACAAATACATAGTTTTATGTGTATCGCTGTATTCATTTTTTTTCCTTTTTTCTTTTTGTTATGTACCACCTACATACGTATACCATTTGTTAAGGTATGACTCGAAAAATTATTGCAACGTTCATAATGCGACAGACGTAGTAATATAGCTCTCGCTGAGATCACTTTGGAACTATGTGTTTTGAACTTTCTCACCGATCGTTGCATCGGTGCACCTTATTTTACTTTCTTTCTTTCTTTCTTTCTTTCTTTTACGATCATCCACATATATTTTCATACGACATAGTCTTTTATTCTTTTACCCACCTCTACCTTCTCCTCTCGAGATCTCGACGAACTATTTCATCATTTTATCGATCATTCGAATCTCACCTAAAAAAATCATTTGCAGACCAAGTTTTCTACTTTCGCGGTTTCTTCTTCTTCATCATCTTCTTCTTCCAATCCTTATTTTATCTTCTATTTATTATTTCTTCTTTGTTCTTTCTTCGTTTTAGATTTTTTTTACAACATACACGAATACTTCCAAAATTTGGATCGTGGGGACAAAATTCGATGGACATTATATTATTAATTAATCGACAAAAGATATCATCTAATCTTCTTCCTCACTTTCTTCTGTCGTAGGACCATACATATCTGCAAGTTTGTCGAATCTAGGACCCCAAGCGCCCAAGTATTCGTACTCGTGTTGCTCGTCATCTGTTCCTAAAAATAATCCTTTTTATAATGATCCCCTTCATTCTTATAAAATCATCACCTCCCCCTCCCTTCTTTTGTTTATTTATGATCGAAACATACCCGAAGCTAAAGACGAAAGCGAACCGGCTGTACTTCCGCCACCTTCGTACGCATAATTTCGTAAATCGTCGAAGGGTGGTGCATTCGGATCGCTGTCGGCCCTTTTCTTGTGTTCTTCGATAAAAATACCCACGTTAGGCTCCGGTCCTAATGGATCTAAAAATATTTTCAATAATCATTATAATCGATGTTCAAATTTGATTTTGAAAAAAGTGAAATATATCAAACTTACAGGCTACTTTACACGGTGCTAATTTTCCACCCATTTCTGGAATAGGACCATTAATTGGAATTTGCAATGGCGTTATGTCAAACGCCGTCATATCGTCTTCTCCACCACCTTCGTCATCGTAATTAATGATATTTTCTCTAACATCGTCATCAGGACCAGGATATTTAATATGAGCTTCCCTTCTTCTATTGTAAACGACGAATACCAACACCAAAACTACGATAAACAACCCAAATTTATTAACATCCTGATTTTTCAATATTATAATTCGATTTGTTATATGAATATACACTCACCAAGAATAATTAATAAACAAACTAGAATGGCTGCAAGTGCTCCCATGCTGAGTTTCAACGTTTGACCTTCTTGTACCAATTCACAATTTTCACCCCAAAATCCTTCAGGACAAATGCATCGATATCGATATCGTGGATCTTGATTGATACATCTACCACCATTCAGGCAAGGATAGTCTATGCATTCGTTTTTATCCATGCAACCCTTGTTATCGGGTGAGGGTATTCTACCTTCACCACAACTACAAAAAAAATTCATACAAGTTGTTATTGTTTTTTATTGTTAATTGTCAATTAACAAGATAACTCACGTGCAATCGTATTCGTTCCAGAGATCGATACATTCGAAAGGTTCGGAGCAAATAACATTGGCACAAGGCTTATTCGAAGGACAATTTCGTTCAAGATTTCTCGCCATTGTTGCTTGACCCCATGGTGTCCCATTCATAGCTGGGGGTAATGGGAGATGTTTACCTTCTAATCTAATATCGTCCAAACAACCTGTTGACAAATTTGATTAAATTAGAATTTAAGAGATCGTTCCGAGATATGATGTATATATAATTAAATTTACCTTTCTGATAATCTGCGTAAACTTCGAACGTTCTAACACCTGTATATTCGGCCTTACCACCGGCATAAATTCCTTCTTGTTTGTCAACCAAAAGCCATTGATGACCTTCAAATGAAAATGTCTCGTTGAATCTTCGACCTTCTCCACCATCCAATTCCAAAGTCGCAGCTGAACCATATCTGGATACTCTGACGGTATGCCATTGACCATCATCTACTGCTATTGCACTTAACCAAATATCACGTTCCTCAGTTCTAAGACTATTTAAATTGTATCTAAAGTGTAATCGGCTATCTTTGATCTGTAATAGAAAGTAATGGAAAAATCGTTCGATATTTAAATACAACAAATTCATAGGAATAAAAATCAATGGAATTGACTTACTTCCAAAATAGCATATTCTCTGTTATGCTGATCGCTCACTCGGAAAAGTTCACCATGAACCTCACGTGTTCGAAATCTCAACTGCACCTGTGTTGAATATTTGTCGGGTTCGAAGGATAATGCATATTTGACGTAACTCTGTGGTTTGAATGTTGTAGGTATCGTTGGAGTCATACAACCAGGACCAGTCCAACCAGGATTACATTGGCATCTTGCTTCGGAGAAATTACCAACGCATGTTCCGTGTTCCCAACAACGGAACGTCAATTCTTGACTGTTGCAAATGTCTTCTGTTTGCGTACAAGTTGCAAAACTGTTCCTCGATAATCCTGGATGTGCCAGATCGTAAAGTTTACTATTGTGAAATAGATTCTTTATGCAACCATCAAAACCTTTCCCAACTGGCATATGTTTCCATTTGTAATGAGTTGGATCGAATTGTTCAACGTAAAGCCCACCAATTTGAAGAGGTGCATTTACGTTTAAGTATTCGTTGAACGGTGGTACTGTGCCTTGCGCTTGACAATACGTGTCGTTAAACTCCGAAGGTGTACCATCTTCTAATTCGGTTATTTCAGCGGCTTTACAGTAATCGATGATAAGCTTTACCGTCTGCAATATACAAGGATTATTCGTAATAAGTTTCATTCAAAATACAAACAGATTTAATCGAACGGAAATTATTTAACCTCGGTATTCCAGAATATGTCGAGTCTGTGCCATTCTCCATCGTCTAAGGTTCTTTTAGGTTTGACTTTCAATTCCAAAGTGCCAGATCCGAAATCTATTAAAAGCCTTGGTATTCCACGATCTAATTCGACCGATATGAAATCTGAAATCAAATTAAAAAATAAAATTTGTCAAAGAACAAGAATAACAGATATATTTTGTAATTTCAGCGGAGACTTCGAGGACATGAAGTCATTTTCTAATTACCCATGTCCATTCTACGCCACACTCAATCTCCTATTTTAATAATAAATCTTTCTCAAATAGAAATTTTGATTTTAAAATTAGAAATTAAAATTAGAGAAGATTTAAGTCCACAAGTGAACTGAAGTGAATGATTAATAATAGTTGATAATAATGACGACGAACGTCAAATAACAGTTCGAAGAAAATCTATTTTGAAAACTTTTAACTCACCAGACACCATAATCTCGTCGGATTCCGGTGGAACAATAGGACCATTGTACAATAGCAATCCATCCGATTTTTTTGTAATAAATTCAAAACTTAAATGACTATTATCGCACATTTCCAGAGCTGGATACCAAGCCCAACCATTGCCACGAAAACTTCTAGTCGTTTGTTGACATCTTGGCCCGTTATATCCGGAAGGACATTGACACCTATTGATTTATCTTCATTGTTAAAAGAATCTAATTAAAGTTAACGATTTTCAATAAAGTTTGGTACTTACGATAAACCGAATCTTCCTTCGATACAACGGCCACCATTGTAGCAAGGACTGCTTCGGCATGATTCACTTTTGCTAAAGTTTCTTGCACCGCATGTACATTCGGCTATCACATCTACTCTAACACCAACCAAAGCTGTTTTATTGGCATTAACCATGTAAGGTAAACTGCTGATATCGAGGGTATTGGTGCAACTTCCTTCGCACATTTCATTTTCATAATAACATTCGTCGATTCCAACCATAGTGATGTTTATTCCAACATCTTTTTCAATCTAATATTACGTAATAAAATCATCGTAAGAAAATGTATGAATTTAAATAAATCGATAAAATTCCTTACCTCTTCACGATGCATCAAAACTATTCCATTTAGTCTGACAGGTTTATAATAAGGTGAACTATGAGCAGCGAATCTAACATCGGTCAAAGGTGGATGCATCCTTCGCAATTGTACGCTAAATACGTCGACGTATTCTTTATCTATGCTTAATAATTGTGCCAATTTTTCTCGGAATAAATCTGCTTTACTTCGAGATAAATTCTGCGACTGTAAAACGAATATCAAAATTATAACGATATGTAAGTAATCAACAAATTTGTTTATAATATACTTACTCTATAATCCCAAACACGTATGAAATCTTCATCCGTAATACCCGATATTCGAACGGATCCAGAATTAAGAACAGCTTCGTGAGGTATAGTTTTAACTATGACCGTTACATTCGCAGGTACGTCCGTTTGCGTGTGTTTTCGATCGTAAACCTTAAAACGAAGATGATATCTTCCATCGTGCGTACCTGATTTCATGTATATCATTCCGGTATCCTCATCCAACTTAAATTGCGCATGTTCTAAACTTTCCCAATAAAACTTTTTATCTGGCAAATCCCAATCGTCCAGATCGTAAACGTATACTCGACCTATCTCGGTATCAGGTGATTGTCCCTAAAATAAAATCATTAAACAAATGTTATTAATGTTATTACATTCGCATAATATTACGATCATCTACTTACTGCATAATTATATACAAAAATGTCCTTAGAACCGGGTTGCATTTTATTATCGTTACTGTCACCGATTATAACAGTCAATGTACTTGTTCCAGACATTGAAGGATTTCCAGAATCCTTGATAACTATAGGTATCAAGTATTCCTTCTGTTGTTCTCTGTCGAATGATCGTAAAGACGAAACTATAGCCATGCCATCTCCATTTGCTCCCTCTGGAAAATACACACAGACACAACAAAATATATCATAGTAAAATTAAAATAAAATAATGGAATATTATAATCGTTTGAACAATCTAACTTACTGTTATCGCTTTCGACTCTGAAACTAGCTCTGATAATATCATCGGCATTTGGATCCATTCTGAAAGTAAACGGTGGACCATTGCTTTTAGATCTGTCATCGTCGTCGGTGGCTAAAATCTCAACGACTTTTCTCGTTTGAAGATGTTCTTGCAAGATTGGTCGATAATCTTTTAGGAATCTAGGTGGATTGTCGTTAATATCCTGAACGATAACTGTCAAAGTAGCTGTCGCAGTTTTTGGTGGTATGCCGTCGTCGATGGCCAAGATTTTAACCTGATTAAATTTGATTGAAAAACGGTGCACTTTTATAACAACTGACACAATATTTTCGTTTGAATAATGTCTAACATTTATTTACCTGATGACGTGGTGTGTCCTCGCGATCGAGACTTCTTTGTATGGATACCGTACCATTCTCGTTGATAAAGAATTGCCTTTTCCTATCGGAACTTCTATCAATCGAATAGGATACTTTACTTTTGCCACCTTGATCAGGATCTGTAGCTTTGAATGTTTCCAAAGTATTTCCGATTCTAGCATTTTCCGGTACAATAGATTCTATGTTGGCTCTTTCAAATTGCGGTTGATTGTCATTGATGTCTCTTAATTTGACAACCACCCAAGAATATGCAACGTGATACTTGTCATTGTCATTGTCTTCCCCCTGACACGCGAAATACAATGAATATTCGTTCTTTCAAATTTACTAACAAACACATTCAAATAAAATCTTTTCCAACGTACCTTATCATTTACTTGTATTCTAAATCGAAAACCATTGCTTTGCAATTGATCTTCATAATCAAGAGATTGAACTATCTTCAATGATCCAGTACCGTCGTTGTTTCTCACCATAGTAAATTTGTCAGCACCGTAACCGCTACTCTCGATTACCTATCGAAATAAGACTTTACTTAGAATCGTTGATAACTATTTATAGAAGAAAAGATTAATTTCAAATAAATGATTGAAACACCTTGTATTGGAACTTATTGGTTTCGTCTTCGTCGTGAACAGTTACGGTGAGTATTGGCATTTCGGGTAAATCAGGTCCTTCGGTTTCATCTACTTCGGTAAACCATTCTTCTTTTGTAAATTGTGGTGGCATGTCATTTATATCCTTAACTCGTATAGATGCCGTCCCGGTACCTAATTAAAATAATCATATTACTATAATCATGTTTTTTGTTTTGTTATTTAAAAATTAATGATAATAAATTCTTGACCAGTATATATAGGTCCATCTTTTGCATGGATTTTTGATTACCTTTTAACCCCCCTCCATCCGCCGCGACAACTTGTATAGAATAATCAGGTGTGCGTTCTCTGTCCAAACAACAAACGGCCGTCTTGATAACCCCTGTCTCAGATTCAATTTCGAATATCGGTGTTCCAGTTTCTTCCTCGATAACATTTTTTTCGATCGAGTATACTAATTTTGCATTGGTACCTTCGCTAGGATCGTCGTAATCTACCGCTGTCATGGTCATTACGACCATTCCTATAAAAAAAAGAAAAATATATATGTTCTACTATTTTATATGGAAGTAACCTTTTTCTTTATATTCTTATGTTAAACGTTTTTCTTTCTTTATTACGAACGTAATCAAAAGAAAAGAAGAAAATGTTTAATACGTGTGTGAACTTATAATATATATATATATAATAATTTATACTAACCTGCCGTTCCATTTTCAGTAACGTTACCAAAATATACTCCCTGTGGGAATATCGGTGCATTATCGTTAATATCTTTGAGGTTGACCTGTACATCGGCGTATCCTACTAAACCTTCCCCACCCTCGTCCTGAGCGAAAACAGTGAATCGCCATTGAGGTCGTCCATTCGGTTGGTCTCTATCCAATGGCTACGGAGATAGTAATAATATTAATAATAATAATCGTCCCAATATTTCTTCTATTTTATGTACCTAAAACATATCTTTCACATAGAATACAAATATTCTATCGACAAATTGTAAATGGATTTCATGTCAAAACTTTAATACATTTTCTAATTTCAGGTTATAATTGTATTGCTTTAAATATTGGTGTCCTATAAAATTGAATGTTTTCGTTTAGTTTTTTAGGAAAATGATTGAATTACTTTGAGGACGAAAATCTCTCCTGTAGTCCGATTGATGTCAAATTTACTGTTGGCCGGGTTGTCTGGATCGATTCCCTGTCCCGTCAAGAAATATACGATGTTTTGAGGTCTATCCTTATCCCCGTCGGTTGCAGTGACCTAAATACAATCGAATCGATATTTAAAATTCCCATTTCTTTTTAGGGATGAATTCTTTTGTAAAAAAAAAAAAAAAAGAAAAAGAAAAGATAAACACCATAGGAAGAAACAAAATAAAGAAGAAAAGAACAAAGGGAAAATAAAATGAGAAAAACAAAATGACAGCTTAAACGACATTACCCCAAGCACTCGTTTTGGTAAATTCCTATCATCTTCCTCGGTTATCTGAGTTCTATAATTCGGTCTCTCAAAGACAGGTGGATTATCATTTACGTCCTTCACGTGTATCACGACTGTTGTATTATTCTCTTCCAAGCTATCCGATGCTGTGAGACGAAGCTCGTACTGAAATAGGGGATGAAACGATGGAAATTATACAATCAAATTGCTTTGATCCTACTTCATTTATGAATGAATCTATAATTAATTCTACTCCAAATGTAATTCTAATGAAAAGAATGAAGAAGTTAGCTCTCAATGAAATAGCTTTCAATTCTAGCTTGAAAGCAAAACAGTTTTCTTTTTAAATTTTATAGAAAGTTAAGATTCATTGACTCACCCTTTTCCTGGTTTCATAATCCAAAACACCGGCGACGTAAATTGCGCCGGTCATGTTCTTCACAGCAAATGCACCGCCTACGTTACCGCTCGTAATCTCGTATCGAATACGCGAGGCTGTGTGAAATCAAATTAAAAAAAAAAAAGAAAAGGGGGGAAAAAATAAAGAAAAAGATTTTATTATTCTCTTAAAAAAAAATGGAATCTTTCGATCGTTTTCATTCTTTATGTTTATTTTTTTTTTGTCATTACGCGAATTGTTGTTGTAAAATATTTTCCCAACTTGTTCGTATTTTTGAGTTTTATTTTGAATTGTCAAGAAAACTTTTCTAGACTATGAATACAAATTTGACAAAAAGAAACTCATGGTATCGTAAAACATACCAGCCAACATCAAGAAGTATTTCGAAAAAAGTTCAAAAAGTTGTTGCAACAACAACTACTACTACTACTACTACTATTACTACTACTCTTACTCTATGTGGTTATTGTAAGAAAACAATGCGAGTTATGCTTACACTCGTCGTGGTCTTTGGCGGTGACAGTAAGAACTGTATGTTGAATGTCCTCATTCTCGTCTACCTCAGCCTCGTAGAGGCTTTTGTCGAAGTAAGGTGGGTTGTCGTTCTTGTCGGCTATTCCAATCCGAATGAATTTCGTTACTGGAAATTAAATAATATAACATTATTGTAGACTTTTTACAATCATTTCTATGCAAAATGTTTAATTGTAATTATAGTATTCTACGTAAATGTTACATAAAATTCATTGAGAATACGTGCATATACATTGTATATGCATTTAAATAATATTAATAAAATTTATTTTTACTATATCGATAATATTGAACTAATTAAATGAAAAGATAAAAGTTCCCTGATTAAAATGATACTTTGTTCGTGTCTTTACGACGTTTCGTTCAGGTGATATAGCTATTTAAAGATTTTCATTCATAATTCGTATTCATATGCACGTAAATGCGTAAATTCCAGGAATTTATGTAGGTCAATGGGCCATTGTGTCAATGATTAATGAATGAAATTAAATAGGTCAATGACTCTAAGTAAACGTTTAATATTTAATTGAGAATATCTCAAGAACTAAATATCATAGAAACTTCGCAAAAGAACCACTTTTAAGGGTAGAACTTTCTACAACATTTTATAATGTTTATAACAATTGCATATAATTGTTTATAAATAAATTGTTATAAACAATATTTGGAAAATATATCAAAAGTGTAGTTTCAAAGAAAACGTGTTTCCTACTTGTTTAAGATACGCTTAGACAAATTGTTTAATGATTTGTTATAAAAAATTTGTTATAAAAAATTTGTTATAAACAATTGAAAAAAAAATTTATCAAATATCAGTTTTAAAGAGAACGTGTTTTCTATTTGATTACGATATGTTTAAACGATTGTTCAACAATTTTTATAAACAATTTTACAAAAATTTTATTCAAGTCAATGATTTTATCGATTGAATAAATAGATAAAAGAATATCTTTCGATACGTTAATTTTGTTTTAATAATAAAATTACATGTTGAGATAAGAGAACACGAATTTCTCTTATTTTCACGTACTCTATCAATCTGTAAAGCTTCATCAGATTCAAAGAAGACCACTTCACGGATCTTCCTAGTTAGTCCGAGTATTAATTATGCTATGTAGACTTCAGCACGGTAATTACTTTCCTGCCACTGACGACTTTCTCTTTCTCTCTCTCTCTCATGGGTTTATTTTTTTTGTCTATCTCTGTATGACAAAATCGTTCCTGTGTGCCTTTTTTTTCTTTCTTTTCTTCCTTTCTCTCTCTCGGACTACTTTAATTACGAGTTAATCATTAATCAACAATTTAATCGACCGATAAAACTATTCGCGTAGGAATTTATATATTTTTTTTAACGTTGCTTTCAAAAAATCTCCCCTTTTTTTTGACGAATTGAAACGAACGATGGATTGTTCGTTAAAATTTTTTCATTGGAATTAAATTGTTATTGAATTATTTTTCCAGAAAAAAAACTTGTTTAAAAATTTATTTAAAAAAAATGGACGAATCAAAGGTGTGTTAATAACAACAGACGATAAAACATTTTATACGAATTTTCAATTGAACAAAAAATTTAGAAATAGAAATTGAGTTAAACTGGAAAATTGTTTCGCCGTTATTTCTACAAATTCCATCCACGATACACACATTTTTCACTTAAATAAAATACAAAAGAGAAGCTTTCCGAGTTCCTTTTTAAAATATATTCTATTTTATTTTATTCTTTTGACAAATATTATTCCAATTCAAGAATGCTTTCTTGTAAGAATATAAGGTAGGACAAATCAATGATGAAAAATCGAAAGAGAAGAAATAATCGATTCTGTTTGTTATTCCATAGCACGTCTTTGAATAATTTTTGTATGTACACAAATAATAAGTATAGAATTGACATCATTGCTCTTCTTCGTATCTAGGATATATCTACGATAGATGGAAAAGAAATTTGTTCATACGAATATTCGTAATGTAATAAGATCGTAGATATTATATCTATATTATGTGAAATTTGATAGAATAACGATGAAATATCAAACCACGTGCAATTTATAACCGCAGGTGTTCGTACATTTGTATGTTTGCATAGATATAAATATAATACATATACATATGTTCACTTTCAATGAAACAAAATAAATTGATTGGCAAATGCTTGCGAACCGATCCATCAAGGTAGTTTAAAGCAAACCATTATTGAAAATACCAACTGTTAAATTAATTCAATTTTTTGTATTCCATCTAAAAAAAAATATTATACATGAATCTATAATTTCAACAAAAAAAATGTCATAACATGAAATGCAATGGCAACTAAGTAAACAAGTATATTACTAAATATAATACTTATGATTAATACTTAAGATTGGGGAGTGGGGGTAGGGGTATATGATTTAAAAAAGTGATTGAAAAATAAAAATTATTCAGGGTTCACACCCTGTTTTCTTGAAGTGAGGCCGCGAAAACGTGCCGGGGCTACACCCAATGACTGTACAGCGGATGTACGAAACGCGTTACTAGGCCACGGGGTAAGAAATCGATGAAGCCCCCACCCTCTCTCACTCTCTCACCAACCCCTAACCGAACCCTTCCTTCCCCCCATCCACCCTGTCGGCGACGTCGAGAGAGCATTCGCTTCTTGGCCGCACCCTGCGCACCCTGTAACACCCGATTGGTTTTGAAAATACGACCTCCTCTTCCTCTTTACCACTTCTACCCCTTTTCCCCCTTCTCACCCTTCTACTTCTTCAAATGCTATCGTCCCCGGCTCTTTGCTCTTTCGACGTAAGCAGAACTGCTCGTTATCCGTTAACAGCGGCCACGGCCCACGATGGTTGATCTTTTTTTTTTTCTTTCCCAACCCTTCACCCTATTTTATTCCTACATATTCTACTACTATGATTTTCTTTTTTTCCTTTTTTTTTTTTTACTACACCAATTTGACGAATGTATTTTTTTCTTTCTTTCTTTCTTCCTTTCTATCAAAACAAACAAACAAATTACGTTTTATATTTGACTCCATTCTTTGGACCATTTATTTTTGTTTTCTAAGTATCTCTTTTCATAATTAATTATTGCATACGAATTATTGTTTTTATACAATATTGATTAACTAATATTATATTTAGATGTTCCCGTATTATAGAGAAAATATGTGATCGTAAAACGTTATACGTGTAATAAAATATTATTTGCCATGTTTTCAATATAGTTTAATGTTAATCTTTATAAACGTTGTTACGGTTTTCATCTGGTCTATTGAAATATTGAAAAATAAAAAAGACAAATAATTATCGAAAATATAGGTCGAAAGTGTATCTGTCTCTCTTCGTATTATTGTTTTTTAAATAAATATATATTCAATAGAATAAAATGATGAAATTCTTGATAACATAGAGATATTATTTAACGAATTGTTTTACGTTTAATAATACTAATTGAATGATTTCAAATGCATAGTAGCACGTACGATATATTATATATATATTGTATTGTAAAAATAATTATCTCGCGTTATCTGATACATAAATTTATAGAACAATGTCATCGGATTGGTTATTTCTAAATGCGAGTTTATTGCTAGTTTGGAAAATTGCTTTTCTTTTTTCTTCTTTTCTTTGCTTTTTTGAAAAGGATCGAAAGAAAAAGAAATTGTAGGAAAAGATTCGAACCAACTCGGTGTATACGTGAGCAGAAAGATAATCTCTTTTGTCGATTGGTCTGTTCGTGGCATGAACGAAAAGAATACTACACATTTTTCGAGAAATAATAAGTTCATAGCTTGCACACAACCATGAATAATGCCAACGCGATATCCGTTCAATCTCCTCTTCATGCAGATTCGCGGAATCGATTTTCCTACCCTCAATCCCTGCTGCTGCTACACCACCACCATCCCCGACGTTGTTAACGTTGCGCGTACCTTGTAAATATTATATCCTTCGCATCGAGCTTGCGTAACAAGAGAAATATTTCATTGCGCGCTATTCGTAAAAAAGAATGAAACGAATGAAAAATATGATCCAGGACGGGCATAAAATATGAGAGACCGAATAACAGAATAATATACTATTCGTTCGTTGACTATAATACCAACCCCTCCCCCATTGAAAGTTCTATTTGAAGCATTAAATTTCCCAAATTCTCATTAAAAACGATTAATTAACCCTTTGGCTATATTTGATATATTACTACGTCATGCATTCATTTGGATAAAAACGCATTGATACGTCATTGAAACTGTAAGGAGATTTAACTAAATTTATTCTGGTTTATTCCAAAGTAATGCGTAATTTTTATATTATTATTATTATTATTATTATTATTTTTATTATTATTATTATTATTATTATTATAATTAATTATTATAATATTTCGAAGTAATTTTCAAATAAATGTATACCCAAAAGGGTTAATATCTAATTGATGAATAGAATGATAGCGTTTAAAGAAATATTTTTCTATGAGTTTTTATTTTCTCTGAAAAATACTTTAAGTAATTTTCTTTCCTTTTCTCTTTTTATATATAATATATATATATATATATCTTTTTTCTTCCTGTATCTTAATCTATCTTACTTGTCTCCTCGTTAAATCTCGAAGAAGGTAATAAATTTTATCGTAATAAATTTTCGAATAAAAGTAGCGAGACACCGGTAAACACACAAGAACCAAACTCTTTATCCTTGTGCTATGTAACGACGATAATGTAAGCGGGTTGCACTATAAAAAAAAAAAAGGTACTTTTCTTTCAGCTTTATTCCTACACTACATTATATATATATGTATATTACTTAAGAAGATTTTCATAAGAAAACGTTTTTTCAACTCTCTTATTTCTATGCATTCATTCAAAGTCCATGTAGAAAATAAAATTCTGAGAAAATCGTGACTTTTAAAATAAATTGTACAAGTGTTTACGTGTATTTAAAAGAAAAGAAAAGAGAGATTGGTGAATGAGATAATTTCGACGTTTTTATATCATATATATGAAGATTCGATATAAAAATAAATATATACATCGAGATTGTATAATTTTTGATTGTATAAAAAAATGGTGAGTTTATATAGTTGGATAAAATCAATGTTAGTTTATTTGTTAGCGATAGTTTG